TAAAAATTTAATAAAGTGTAACTTATAGCGCCTTGAAAGTCATGGAGGCAAAATGACTTTTTTTTTTGGCCCCCCCTGTACACTGCGAAGCATAATCATAGTTCCACCCATGAATCTCACAAAATCCTGTCTTACACGACGTTTTCAAAAATGCCCCCATACAGAAAATGTGGTAATTACCAATACCAATTCGCATGCCAACACCAAACTCTAGCTTGAAAAAACAATTTTTTTTCGTCAATTTTTTCAAAAATGGTCGTTCTGACAACGAAGCAAAAATATAGTTCCACCAAACAAATCGAATATTCCAACAACAAGTGCACAATAAAATGAGTAAATTTTGATCCAGTAATCTACTGGAACTCTATTTCTCCAATTAAGTTGGAAAATACGGTTGCCCATGTTCGATTAGAGATTTTAATAGGCTGTCGGCCGACTGCCCCAATGATTAACTCCCTAAGCTCACGGACCTTGTGGAATTGTGCATTACTCTCATGGATCATACGCACCATGAAGCCCCTCACATCCTCGATTGGGTTTTAGTCGGGGCTACTCGCTGGCCAGGGCAAAAGAGCGGTTTGGTGACAACTGAATCACGCTCGAGTGCTTCGACTGTCATGAACTGGTGCATTATCCTGCATGAAAACGGGACTTTCTTGCTGATTTCTACGCCAGAAAGCAAGGAGACGTCGTCGCATGACTTTTAGATGACGGAAGAAATCATTTCTTTTTTCATACGGAGCGCAGTTTCAGACGTTCCATTCATGCGATGGCAGCCCAGACCATGAGACCACATCCACTGAAGTTCCGCCCGGAAAAATGAAACTTGTCTTCCCTCAGGTCGTGCCAGCGGAATCGGTTTTCGTCGGAGCCGTCGCAGTTGAATTTTTTCTCATCAGAAAACACGACCGCGAGAAAAAAAAACTGAAAAAACACAGACAAGCAGTAGGGCACCGCAGCCAAAAGCCAACCTCACTCATTGGGTTCGGCAACATCTTCGAGCAAAGCCAATTAGGTTTTCGCGATGGTTTTTCGTTAGAAACAGTACGTAACTCATATTCCTCCTATGGGTGAACTCGGGAGTTTTTCAAGAGACGCCTGACAGTATTCTCCGAGACATTAACCTCCGAAGATGTCTTGATTTCCCGACACGACACTGCAGAGTTGGATGCTTTCCAAGGATACGGCGGTTATTCCGATCGGGCAGCAAAGGGATGTCCAGAGCTCTTCTCAGCTCAATATCCTGTGGGTCCCTTGGAAAAAATCGTTGATAGCATGATGAGTGCGGCCCGCATCCCGCGCCATTCGACGGTTCGACAGTTTTTGAGTCTTCTTTGCGATAATCTGTCCTTTTTCGAGGTCCATTAATGAAGTTCCACTTGCCATAGCCTAGAAGAGGCAAGAAGTCATAATGATGAGAAGTTTCACCGAACAAAAATGAGATGCAGCCGGAAAATATGCGGTGGAACTATATTTTTGCTGCGTTGTCAGAACGACCATTTTTGAAAAAATTGACGAAAAAAAATTGTTTTTTCAAGCTAGAGTTTGGTGTTGGCATGCGAATTGGTATTGGTAATTACCACATTTTCTGTATGGGGGCATTTTTGAAAACGTCGTGTAAGACGGGATTTTGCGAATGGGTGGAACTATGATTGTGCTTCGCAGTGTATACTAGTCGCTAACGCTGAGGGTCGCCGGTGGACGCTCGTGACGCTGCCGCAAAGTATGAACGCAGCCTCAAAAGTCAACCATGCTTTACAACCAGTCCTGCACCTTCGGTTAGCCTCAGCGCAGCTATGGTCAAGCTTTTTCGCTGGCCGTATGACCTGTGTCGTGACTATGTCGTGGCTATCACATATCGAATGCAAATATTGTTTCACTACGCCAGAGAGTCTAGCCAGCATAAAGTCTTATTCGCTGCAAAGGCGGGGGCATGGGAGGTGTGGGGGCGGGAGTCGTTCGGCGCGGCGCTAGCATACATGTCCTGAGCTATAATGTGCTAAATATACAGGGGGGGGGGCAAAAAAAAGTCACTTTGCTTCATTGACTTTCGAGGCGCTATAAGTTACACTTTATAAATTCTGATCGGACATTTCTACCACCATATTAAAGAGCATATTAAATACTATTATGACACTCCGCCACAGCCTTCTGGAGGAGCGCCATCGAGAGATTCTGGCACGCAACCGCGATGTGGTCCTGAGATCAGCGAGATAGTCGATTTCTCCGCCACCGTAGACCACCCTATTGAACTCCGCCCGAACCGGGTAATTGAGGGGATTCAGGTCAGGTGACCTACTTGGATATTCCATCTTCTTTAGGTACTCAGCCCCCTTCCATTCCAGGTAGGCGAGAGTTTCTCCAACGCCCTTCGATTCCACGTGGTGGCACCCAATGCTGTAGCAGTACAAAGTTTCCAAGAAGGTACGGGCGAC